ACTTTTAAAAGTTTCATGAAGCAAATCGGAAGGCGAAACTTTATGTTTTTCTAAGCAAGCTTTGCAAGCGATGAAACTTAGAAATATTTCAATATATTTCATAGCGTAAATCAGTTTGCAAAAAGTTAGTTTTTTCTTGCAAGGCGGTTGCTGTTTTTAGTTGATTCGGTTCACAATGAAATCACTCGGTGAAATGAAAAAATGAACAGGCACTGCCAAATTTAAAAGTTAAGAAAATTTGAAAGTTCCAGAACATTCTTGGCCTTCTCTTTAACGTTAAGCCTAAAATTTTTTTTAAACGTTGCATTCGACAATACTAGAACATTGCCTTCAGTTAAACATTGCGTCCATAGCGATTTCCGACTTTCATTTAATATATAAGATTGGAAAATATCAAAAAAAAACATTGAAAGGTGTATAAAAACATTGGAAAAGATTTAAAAAAACTTGGAAGGCGTATAAAAAACATTGAAAAAGATTTTAAAAACATTGGGAGGTGTATTAAAACATTGGAAACGATAAAAAACATTGGAACATTGGAAAGTGTATAAAAACATTGGAAAAGATTGAAAAAACATTGGAATGTGTATAAAAACTTTGGAAAAGAATCACTATGTGGTGTAATTTTCTAGCGTCGCCTTTTTACTCTGCTTTTCATGAATTCATTGATCTGTAACTCCTGATAAATTTTTTCTTTCCTCGTTTACGTTGGGACCGTTAGCACAGTGATTTTCATTGCAATGAATCTCTAATGCTCAATAAAGTGGAGTCTCGTCATTCGTCCGGCACAACTTTCTGCTGCATGATTATGACTCGTTCAAGTTCATTCCAGTAGAGCTCAACGCATCAGTATTTCAGCTCCGTTTCTTTATTCAAAATCCTAAGCGACTGTTGGCACTCGTGGATCATCCTCTTACTAAATACTAAATTCCTATTCATTTAGAAATTGGAAAAACATTGAAAAAAAAATTAGAAATTTCAAAAAGGCGTAAGAAAGAGGGGCAATTGCACTATATCTAGCACAGAAGGTTAGGACGGAAGCAAACATTGCTACAATTTTTCCTATGACTGGCTTTATTAACATAAAATTATTCAAAGAATACGCCTTTCATCTGCATAGATCGTATATCTCCCATCAGTCTACTCTAAAAAGCAACAACTTTTTCTATTTGAAATTTTTTAAAATTAAACCTTTATGGAGCTCAAGTCAAGACTGGAATGCCCCGGTCGGGACAGAGAAACGAAAAGCTTGTACTTTTTTTTTCTTCTTGAAGACATATTTGAAATTTTTGAAATATTTGAAATTTCCTTTATACGTTAAAAAGCAATACAAAACCATCCAAGAAAAAAGTGAATAATTGCTCAAAGAATAATTTGTAAAAAATGACAAAATTGTGTGAGACCTTTGCAGGTAAATTTTGAGCGGAATGAAAACGAAAATTTACAGAAAATGTAAAAGATTACTGAAAAGTTTATACTAAACTCACAGCGATACCAAAAAATGAACGTGGGCAAAAGGGAGCAACACACCACTTGCGATCATCACAAACATAGAATGGTAAGCTTGCCGAGTTAGACCTGTGCCACTTAGTCGAAAAAAAAGAATCAGAAAAAGGTATCGAAAACAAGGTCTATCACAATACAAATTTCTTACTTTCTGTCAAAAAAAATATTTTGAGGAAACACGCGGAGAAAACTAAAGGCTAGCAAAAAACATAAAAACTTATGAGCCGGCAACAAGTGGACAACTTTTGGGTAGACGCTCGCTGAGCTGAAGAAATCAATCACGAAATACTTCAGCTACAAAAAAAAACATGAAACTCGAAACTTACAGAATTCACAAGACACCAGAGCACACGCACGATTGAAAAACTACTGCCACTCGTCCAATGACATGATTTGAGGCAGCCCAACGATATTAGATAAGCCAAAACCTTTGAAAGCCACATTAACAGTTTAAGTAAGAAAAAGGGAAAAGTACAGACCACATAAGCAAAAATTAAAATTAAATGGGAATTTAAAACCCAGATGTGCTCAAAATACTTCTGTTGACCTGATATGTCGGTCAGCAAAATCATTCAGTTTTTTTTGAGCCAGTTGAGGACTTGAAAAAGTCAAACTTTGAATTTGATAAAGCTTGACAAGAACAAACGTCCACCGAAAAAGTTATAAACTTAACTTCTTAAATTTCAAGAAAAATTGACAACAGTGAAGCCGAAAAATCGTCATCATAAAAAATTGATATCCAAATGTTAGATACAATATTTATCAGTAATTACTGGGGAGCAGTAGATAATATAACAGAAACCAGTGACCGATAGCAGATTTTATAATTTTCCGATTTAATAACACCTGCTAAAGGCAAGCGTAAAAAAGCCCAAATTGATACAGATGTTAGAAAAGCTGTTAACGGCTCAAGTTCCCGATCGAAAAAAAAATCTGGCACTTGCAAGTGTAACAAAGCAGCCTCTGAGCAGTTCAAAAATAACCCACCCTAGCATGTACAGTTTCTCTGAGCTATTTGAATAAGCGCAGACCAGACTATTTGCAGACAGAATTTAAGTCAAAAATCAGAACGCCAAAAAATCATTGATTTTTTAGACCACAACTTTTTACACAGGTGCGAAGTTGCACTTCGCATACACAAGCAAAAATATGATCGATAACGCTGCCGGGAAAAAAGAATGGTTAAAACTTAGAGTCTACAAAATTTCTTAAGTGACGCACGCTAATTATGAGTCTACTTAATTGCTAAGTGACGCAAGCCAATTATGACGCATTAGCACAAATATACCAGTCAATTTGCACAAAAAAGGAAACTTACCAACTAACATGCCTCAAATTAGAGAGCGAACGCATTTTTACTAGTATACGAAAAAGGTCAATAAAAACATTCGACCTTGCCGAGGTTCGAATACTCTTATGTTTTGGGTCTCCTTACCTACCTCTACGCTACAGATCCGTGATACATTGAAGCTAAATTGCAATATGTAATATAATAGTCTGTGTTTATATCGTTAGCATTGGCTGTACTTAATAGCTGGTTATTGATCAAAATGAACACTTTCAAAATGAACACACTTAGGTTGGAAGAAAAAGATATTTCATACTATAACACAAGCTTTGCTTGTGTAAAAATGGCCCTGGAAGCAGGTCTCTTTCTGTGAAGGGCCTCTTTCTGTGTTTTACTAGAAAAAAATATGATGAGAATTGACGTCAAAAGTATTCAGCCCAAAAATAATCAATCAACATAACATATTTCTTGAAAGCAAGCATGATTTTAACGAAATGAAATCTGCAGTAGGAACAAATTGAAATCATTTTTTTCGAGATATCATGTCCTTAACTTAATTTGAGGTACTTAATTTGCCACGGGGGGTCGAAAATTTTTGGGGGACTGGTATTTAAAAATTGTCAAGGGGGTCTTGCAGTCTGATTAATATCTTACGGAGCGGCCACTAAGCCGACAATACTTGGCTTTACGGAAGCTCCAACACAAAAATGCCATCAAAAAGTACTGAACAATTTTTTAAACTCTAATCTTCCTGTAACATACATTGATTAATATGCGCTCTTATGCAGCAATGATTAAACAGGTAAAGATAGTGTACAAATTCAAAACGTAAAAAAAAACTTTCGAATTTCAAAAAATATATATAAGCCCTTAAAGCTCTTTGGTTTTCGCGAAAAATTTTTTTGATTAGTCCTTCTTTGATTAAATTAACCAAAATTGAAGACATTTGGATCACTTTTTTCGTGACCTTTGCATTTTTGCTGTTCGATAGTGGAGTTTGTCAAACCGCAAAAAAAATCAAAACTGAGCGCGAACAAATTTCAAGACTTTCTCCCGGAAAAAACTGCCAAGACCTATATAACAGCACTCACTACGTGCATTACTCTAGAAAGGAAATCATGCAGGGAAGTCAGATTTACAAATATTAGTAAAAAATCAAAACATTCACAACTGCAATAAAATTGCTTGCAGCGCAAAGTCTGAGATTTCGCAACTGAGCCGAAAAAACCGACAGACAGACGATAGGTGGACAACTATTTTTAGAGAGGCAGTTTGCAAAATTAAAAAAAAAGGTCTGGGCCGGATTTGAACCTAAGAATTTTGTTTTCCCAGGCGTGATCGTTACCTCAAAGTTAAAAGCGCTGAAGAAGCTAAGGAAAATTGATTTATCATAAATCAAACTAACAAATGATTTAAGTGATTTTGTTAAGCAAATTGTTCAGCTGAAAAAAGTCAATATTCCGATTTGATAACACAATATTCGAGCACCAGATCTATGGATCCCAATGCAAACGCGTACACAATCTAATAAGAGGCTTCATAGGTGTTGAAGTGCCATAATAATGAATGGCGTTCCTTGCAGATTTGTAGGAAAAGTTGCTTATGGGAAAAAGTCACTTCCCGATCACAAGTGACTTGCTCTCGCAATTAAAATGAAGTACCGTTTGATCAAAAGAAATACTCAGATGTGTTAATAATTTTCCTAAGACATTTCTAAATCTCATTATAAAAACTGTCGAAAGAAAATCTTTTTACATATGTACAAGAAAACGAAAAATATATAGGAAGTTTTAATTTACAATACTTTTCAGTGAGATCATACAGCGCTTATTTACATTATGAGGACAAAATGAGCACAACTTGAAACGCGTTTTTTTTCAAATTGGGTTCAAATAAGGCAAAAAAAAGATGCTTAGAATCTAATGAAAACTATTATGGTGCAAACATTATAACAATTTCCGGGGCCAAAATTTCAACCCAAAAATGGGTCATTTTGGCTTCTTTTAGTCAATCAAAACTTACGCTAAATCTATTGAGTCAATTGACGAGCAAGCAATATCAAAGTCGGCCTCTTATACAGCCAAACAAAGTTTTACAAAAAAATAACCTCCAAAAATCTGTATAAATGAATATATTTTAGTTTGATAGCCAAAAAATGTCATTTTACTATATAAAAACATTTTTTGATGAAACAAATTTTCAGGTTTTGCGTAAATCCTTGGAGGTTATATTCTTTTAAAACTTTGTTGGCCTGAATAAAAGGCTGACTTTGAACAGTCTAAGTGATCTAGAAGTTGCAAGTTTTTGATTTCGTTTTAAAAAATGAACGTATTTTTTCTGCACAACTTTGTCGTTTTTTTCTGAAACTATTCAAGATATAGGGTTCATTTTTGGACACATACTAGATGAGATTAATTGAAATGACTTAACCGGGTTGAATTCTGATAAACCTTATTTCGAAGGCTGTTTTTTTTCTGAAACTATTGAAGATAAAGGGTTCATTTTTGGACACATACTAGATGAGATTAATTGAAATGACTTAACCGGGTTGAATTCTGATAAACCTTATTTCAAAATAAGTCAACAAATGAACTATTTCAGCGAATAAGCCGGAAAAAACTCACATTTTTTAGGACGCCGGTCCAAGTTACTTCTTCAATTCTGTTATCGGTCGTTTTTAGGTGGAATAAGCTGAAAATCAAGCTCGCCAGTTTCCCAGAGAACTAAAATAAGCCCAACAATTACAATCCTTATTTTATTTGCGAGGGTGTCCACAGAAAGAACACTTCTAAAATTAGTTTTGAGATGCTGGCCAATTCACGCCTTCGCAAAAAGATTCGAAATCAAATTTTGACCTGGCTAAGTGTTAAATAATTGCATCTAGCATGCGAAAAAAATAACCCTATATCTTAATCAGATTCAAAGAGAACGACAAAAATTCGTTCATTTGCTCGTTGAATTAAAAAAAAAGTTGCTACTTCTATGCCCCGTGACTGTAGCTTGTAAAATTTTGGCCCAAAATTCGCCAAAAAAAATTGCAACATAATAATGCTGGTAAAATTCTAACCAACTTAACTTCTCATCAATTTTTGTCTATTCTCAGCCCAACTTTAGAAAAACGTGTTTAAAAACTCTACTTTGCTCATTTAAGCCGGATAATTTAAACCAGCACTGTAGTTATGTGTACACGTTCAAGATGAATAATAATATGCAATGCAAAGATATGAAATAAAAACAAAAAGTTGGTTGCAAAAGCAGCAGTTCAATATTGATCTCCAACTATAGCTCTTTGGTCAATTTCTTCCAGAAGACTGTTGCAATAGGTTGGAGTCCTGTGTCTATGCTTCACTGAGTTGATCGAATCCCTCAGTGAATCCGGACATAACCTCAGCGAAGCTTTGAGGACTTCAAAAACCGCATCTTGAATCTCCAGGTCTGGGTCGTCTAGATGAATCAACAAACCCTCATACATATTCTCACAGTGTGCTCTATACAGTCCACTGTTATATGGATTTGGCAGTGCATTTGAGAGTTCTATCAGGGTTTCGGTCACTTTCAAACGCACTGAGTTCTCTCTATCATCCAGCCGTTTAATCAAGTCGGGTATTACTTTATGAAGCTCATCGGGGTCCAGTGATGTCGTTGAAATCAGTCTACCCAACGCTTTTGTTGCAATAATTCGTGCAGTTGTACTGTCTTCGTCCAGCATTGAGGTGAGACAAGGAACCATTTCTTCTGCAATTACTCTCAAGTCGTGTTTGCTGATAAACTCGCCTTCTAGAATGGCCCATAAAGCAGTTATAGTTGAAGTTCGAGTGGCTTCATTGGTCCTTCCGGCTTTCCAGATCAAATTTGGCATTAAGACATCCTTCGCCAAAGACATGGAATGTAAACTTAATTGACCCTGGCTGTTCAAAGTCTCTCCCGCAGTAAGTACTAGTTTGCAGAGAACGGTTAGAAACTTGAGCCGCAACTCTGGTTCTTTATCCGGTTCAAGATATAATTTGAACATATGCATAACTTCCGGTAATGCCACCCCTACCGAAGCTCCTGCACTCAAAACTAGTCCTTCAAATAAAAGAAACTCGCTCGAGGAGCTGGACATCAGCTTATTCTTGTCTGATAGTCTCTCCAAGAGCTTTGAGGTACACTGAGAATATAAATCAGCAACTTCGCACATTAAGCACTGCGACAAAATTTCCAAGCAATGGTATCCGTGCTTACGAGTTTCAGCGTCAATTGACAGCGCCATTGATGTAATGACTATGTCAAACAATTCTTGTTTGTAAACCTCGACATCTGCCACCTGATTTCTGCACAGCTCGGCCACAAATGATTGCAGGCCTAGCAGGTATGAAGATTGCTGGTAACATCTGCATACATCGTCGGAAGCACATGTGGATACTACATCTTCTAAGTAGTGTTTAAGTATGTCTGGTTGTGATCCTCTGATTATGTTGGCTAGGATTATTAAACCAGCATGGTTCTGCCCAGCTTTGACAACAGGCAGAAGAATTTTACACCAACTTTCTGGATTAACGAAATATCCTATCATTTCTGCGCAGGCTGCAATGTACTTTTTCACTTGCTTGTCTTCGTCCAATGCGCCTTTTTGCAATGCACTGAAAACTTTTGCAAGAAACTGAGTAACCGAGTCTTCAACATTGAGCAAGCATTGATACAACAAGGATGCGGTCTTGATTCGAGTCTCAACTCCCCAATCACCGATGTCATTTTGAATTCCATGTATGAATTTTCCAAAATTGCGATATATTAGCACTCGACAACCAATGCATGGCCTCTCTACTCCTTCCGGATACCAAGCAGGCGATTCCACTGAAAAATCTAATTTATCTTTCAATTCTTGCTCGTTTTCTTCTTCAAATTGCCTTCCAGCCCTTCTCCAAAAATCCACAGCAGCATTGGCAACTTCGATGTGTGAATCATCAACAGCGGAGAGAAGCAGTGGTATCATCCTATGCCAAAACGAGTAGCGGTCTGGCAAATTGAGCATCCAGTCGCCCATCACATTCGTCAGTGCTAGACGAACAGCAGGAATAGGATCAAAAATCCTTTGAGCGAAATGAGAAATCACATCCTCGACACTTTTGTTGTTTCCAAACCTGATAACATCTCCCAGACATGCTATCACCGCAACACGAACTTTAGAGTGCTGATGGCTTATTTGAGTCAAAAGTGGGTTAATTAAATTTTCTGAATGCTGGTGGAAATAGGCTGGGATTGTTTTTGCCAATTTAGAAGCACATTTACAACTCTCCTTTTTAACTTCGGCAAAACCATCTTTTATGGTCTGCTGTAAAACTTTTATGTAATCGTTAAGAAACTGAGCTACTCCCTGTTGAGCTAGGTCAATAATTACACATAACGTTTGAACGAGGGAAAGTCGAATTTCTTCAGATTCTTCAACCAGTTCAACTTGCCCAAGTCTGTCCACAAACATCGGCATAAACGCAGGAAGAAGAACTAGAGGATTTGGGCACATAACAATGAGATCTTTTAATATATCCAATGATAATTCTCTGCACTTTTCTGATTCATCCGAAAGGCAAACAAGAACTTTGCGGTGCAATTCTAAGCCAATAGCTTGAAGTTGGTCTTTTTCCAATGGAATATTTCTGGCAATTGTTTCAGCTCGAATATGCTCCAGTGCTTTTCTTCTTTGCACTTTATTCTCTGCGCCAAGCGTGTTCAATGGTCTGGCTAGAGATTTCAGGACTTCGGACGCTGAACTCATTTCTTAGCTGAAAGGGTGAGACATTGAACGCAGAAAAACTTTCATAGCAGACAAATTTATCTGACCTGACAAAAAAAACTTCATTCATCAAAAAACCTACAGAATATTTATAGGTTTTTATGAATTTCAATGCTCCAAAGCTCCTAATTTATGAAAACGAAGAAACATTCAGCCAAAGGTATATGCACTAAGGCATATCACTGAACCCGAACTTCTGAATTACGAATCCATAATTTTCAACACAAAACTGTAACATTCGCCCGGAAGTACATATCGACGGAAAATAAAGCTAGGTTATAAAACGACTGGCTCGCGTCTAAACACAGTTCTACATACTTTTCACCGTCTCTGCAAAAGCCAGTTCTTTGTGTGGTCCTTTTAACATCGGGTCGACAAAAACGTTACTGTTTCCGGCTTCGGCCAGAACGGAGTGCAGCCAGTATTTAGACAACCGCGTATTCATACTCGTCAGTATTTAGACAAATACAGTATGAACCAATCAGAATCGAGAAAAGACATAAATAATCCAAAATAAATAATAATCATATATATATATATATATAAATATATATAAGAAATTTAAAATGTTAATTCAAACGTTTTCGCACATTCTGTAATTTGACAATATTTACAAAACGATCAAAGATCTGAAAAATGAGAAACGTGTCTAAAAAGGCACTAAAACTTTTTAACCAATCAAATTTGAACAACTGTAATTACATAATATAATTACGTAATCATGAATAACATTTTCCTGTAAACTTCTGAGATTTTTTAGTTTTTTGCTCTTTCTGGTTATAAAATTTCGATTTGGGAACATTTTTGATTCTGACATGTCAGTTTTTTAACTTTTAGCCATGTTATACATACTATAATTTTAGTGTTAATTCCCGGCTCCTGAATTCATCGCGTGTGTTGATCTTCGGTCTCTCCCTCCAAATATGCAAATCCTCTAGTGTCAGTAGCTTATGAGTGTTGGCTGTTTGGTCTATTATCTCTGACTTCAGCTCAGCAGTACCGCCTACCTCCTTTTTACATTCTAACAAGTGTTGTCCTACTGGGGAGTCCCCTTTGCGGTGTTCATCGACCCTCGTGGCAAAATGTCGGACTGTCTGACCGACATAGGTGGATCATTTATTAATTTTTTCTTTGTCTCGACTCTGATTGGGTGAAACAGTATTTGTCTGAATACTGACCAGTCTGAATACGCGGTTGTCTAAATACTGCTATGTAACCGGCCAGAACGGTCAGATTAACTTAATAACATGCGAAAATAGTGAGCTCATGGCTGGGTCTCAGTATCCCCAGACCACGAGGTTACTCCTAAAAACAGGGCTACTACTTATTTATTATATTACTATTGTTTTTGTTCATTAGATAAAATCGTCATTCCCATTGGAGATGGATCAACCCTTTCCCTCAACTCCTAGCTTCTCATATTCTGAAAATGAATTTGATAATAATTAAATTCAACTCAGGACATTCCGGGAAGCTAAAAGTTGTTAAAAACACGAGCTACAGTTCTCTCTCGAGACCCTTCCGGAATCTTGAATCCGGACAAAGAGCTGTCTTGTCTCTTTCCGGAAGGCTGCTCACGTCGCTCCAACAACCTTCCTGATTCTCGGGAATCGCTTTGTAACGATTGTAGCGGCACAATTGTTACAACTCGGAGTGGTCGTAAATCACTATATTTCCTCAGTTCGTTGTTGTTTTTCATCAGACTCTTCCGTGTCTAAGAATATTGTTGTTGAATTTTTGGTTAAAAAGTAATTTTCAAACGTTTTTGCAACAAATCTTAATGACAATAAAACATCAATTTACAAATGTTATTTACAATAATTCACATACATTTTGGTTGTAAATCATCATGTTAAAAATTTAGCCAATCACAGTTGACCTCTAAATTACTTTTGCGATTAAAATACTTTTAACTTTTAAAATTACTTAAACAAATTTGAATTATTTTGTCTAGAAGTTTCTGAGTCATAATTTCGATTTAGACATGTACCTTTTTTTGGACTAAAATTTCAGTGTAAATTCCATGCTCCTAAACTCATTGCGCTAGTTCAAGCTCAGTTTCTCTTTCCTGATATGTATTGCCTCTAGTGTTAACAATTTAGTTTTGTTGTTTGACCCATCTATAATTTTCCCAAGTAAGCTCTCCGCTATTTCCCTCAAGTTGGCATTGCTGAAGGTGGAGGTAATAATGAGTCTACCAGTGAGTATGTTTTCTTATGTTCCTCAATTCCAGTGGTCAAATGACGAACAGTTTGTCCGACATAGGTGGAAGTGCTACCTTACCCTCGATGATTTTGCACAGGGCGTCTGAAGCATTCTTTGCGGACCAATTTTCAGGGTACTGATTTGTCAGCCAATGCGCCCTATTAGTTTCCATAGCCTTATCAAATTGCTCCCAGATAGATGTACCCCTAAAAACCCTGTGTACAGGGCCTTGGATAACACTACGCTTATACTGAGTTGGGGCGCAGCTTCTATAGTTCAGTATAGTCCCTGTACTTGTTGGTTTTTGATACCATTTCCATGTTTCACCCCTACCCTGCGAAACATTTATGTTCAAATGCAGGAACGGAAAACTCCCCTCCGAAATAGTTTCCTCTAGAGTGAACTGCAGATTTGGATGAAGAGAATCGGCGGCATCGAGAAGGCAACTCGGCTCCCCTCTGACTGTTCTAACAATGTTATCCACATACCTGAAAAACAATTTCAGCTGGGGAGTATCCTTCTCCTTGTTCTTAGCGCGGCAGCAGCTTTCACATTATCAGAATATCTCGGTTACTGGTGCGTATACGTCATCAGATATTTTTCCGCATTTTAGATGATACCAGTTTCTGCAACTCTCCCATTCAACTCCCTTTGGTCTATATGTGACTTTCATGCTGCAACATGGGCACAAACCGTTTTTATCATTAATTTGCTGTATCTCCGTTCCCACTGGTTCTTGTCTTAGAGCAAACTCAAACTGTTTCAGCCATAAGTTTGCCAGAATTACAGCGAGGGACGCGCCATTGCCAAACCATCAATTTGTACTTACCATGGATCATTGCGCTTGAAATATACTTTGCTGACCGCCATATTCAAAAGCCTTTTCATGGTTGCTCTTTGAATTTCAGGAGGAGACTCCTGGCTGTACAGCTTCTGTAGAGCAATTTCAATTGCCTCCTTCAGGGGAACGTTAGTGTACAATCCTTTCACATCAAGAGATATTATGGTTTCATCCGGATCTAGAGCAATGTTTTCAATTGTTTCTCTGGCATCTTTAGTATTGGTTTCTATATTGGCTTCATCGATGTTGTCAAAAAATTTTGCAAGCATCTCGTTAAGACTCTCATACGAGCTGCCTGGAAGTGGTAGTACTGGTCGTAGGGGTGTCTCAGCCTTGTGTACCTTAGCTAAACCGTACAAACGAGCGGGTTGCCCCCCTGTTGACCTCATCTTAGAATATACATGATAACTTATCTCGTGTTATTTGTTCATGGCTAGTAACTCTTTGTTAAGTTCCTTCTCAATTTTCAGTATAACCTCATCAGTGGTTGCAACTGTTTTTCACAAACTGAGCAGATTGCAACAAGGATTCCAGCTTTGATTTATACGTTTTTTTCCTCATTATGCAAAAACCAACCCCCTTATCAAAAGGGACACCCAGCAACCCATTATCTCAAGACCTTTCCTCGTTTTTTCAATGGCTTTGTCTCTTGGGGTTTGCCGTACGTTTTTTGCATATGCCTTTGTCGCGGCTTCAATTTTATATAAAGTTTCAAAAGATGTTTTTTGGACTTTTTAAATGTGAGAGGAAAATGTCGACATCCGCCAAAAAGTGTGTTTCGCTAAAATTGTCTCTAATGGGATGCTTTGGGCCCATTGATAGCACTTCATGTACCCATCCAGGCAGTTCAATGTTATCAAGCACCTTAACTGATCGCTCATTTCTCCCCCAAGAGGTTTATCATGTCTCTCGGACAGTTTTTCTAATTTTTTTCTATGGTGTTCTGATGTTGTCTTTAAGCTTGCCTCAACTTGACGCCCCACGAAGTGGAAAATGGATGCCCACCACTGTTCGTCGGTTTCTTTTTGCACCAGTGATCTTGCTTTCCTTAGCATCTCCTCATACCTTTTCCTATCCTCATTTGCCCTAGAAGTTTCAGTCCTTAATAGTTTCAATTGAAAATTATGCACGATTTGGTCCGAAAAAAAAACATTCTCGGGGACCCTAAACTTCAAAAAGTCCGGTAATAAATCGTTTTTCAGACATTTTCTCAGAAATTTCAGTCTATGTACAGATACTTGAACTTGTGTTAAGGTTTTTTAATAGTCTAACACAATTTTCCAAGTTGGTTTTCTTTTTAAAATTTGTCTGAGCCAAACAACACGCAAAAGTACTGTGATCATTGTTTTGCAGGCCACGAGAAGTGAAACTCACAAGGCACAAAGCAAAACAAATCACACTCTTCTCACCGCTGTCTTTGAAGCGCAGACACTTCCTCTGCCTTCAGCTTCTGCTCACGTCTTGCCTTCGCTTTCTTCTTTGTCTGTGATGGTCTCTGTGTTTTGCCCCTGATATTGCCAGTCAGATCTGACAGCCTTTCTTTTTGTGCCAATACCAATCGCAGAGTTTTCAGCTCCAATTCAGCACTATGGTGCAGCTTCAAATATTCCTTGAGCTGCTCCGGGTCGTTTTGCTTGCTCTTGGAGAGTCGCCGTTTTGTTGCTGGAATAATCAGCACTCCTGTGCCGAGAAGCTGACTAAACAAGTCGGGCGTTGCTTCTCTTCTGCAATAAACGATCGCCAATATCTGCTGCTTCTTCGACTTCAAATAGTTTGTCAGCTCCTCGACACCGGCTGGGCGATAGTTGTTTGTTCTGTGATTGCTAATGGTGTTGTTCACCACGTCGTTCCACAAAACCACTTTTTTCCGTCAATGGACTTTCTTCCAGTAATCGTTGGAGGTTCCTTCTCTGGTTCATCAAGTTATTATTAAGAGATAGGCCAAG